CAGTGGAAGCCCACGACGTGATGTCTCCCAAGATAAACGTATGTATTGTGTTGGCATGCTCTTTATGACATACTCTTCAATGTGTGCTGATTACGCTGACATACTATTGACACTCTGCAGTATGGTTCTGTTCTGATATATGCGTGTCAAGATCTTGATCGTGCATTCACTTTCTCACAAGAACAAATTGCCTCGTTCCTGATCGTGACCACTTAGCGTTCACAAGTCCATAGATTGAAGCAAAGTTCTCAACCCCACTGCTGTTGAGCCCAAGCATTCAACCTGGAACGTTCTCTCACACGCACTGAGCGACCTGCTGTTGTTGAATAGTTCCCATGGGGTGCATTTAGTAGATTCTTTTCGACTGGGGGTTCAACACTTTTCAACCAAATATCCGAAGCAAAGTTCGGCGAGATAAAAAGTTCCCAATCACGCAGTGGCAAGTGAAAGTCTCACCGCAGTCGTCTTGAACTTTTGAGCGCTACGAACATAAGATGTGATTCAAATACTGACCACAGAAGATAAAATATTACTTCCTGCGTTCTCGCGATGGGATCGGCAAAGTCTACAACTCCAAGGTGCTGTCTACAGGTCAAGCCAGTGATGGGCAAGGATTTCAACAACATTCTCGAGAACTAGGTGCACTTCAAACCGACTTTGTGAAACAACCTCTTCTAGGATCCTTGATGATTTGGTTTATCAGCCAACAACACTTGGGGGGGTGCTTTTTCTTTGGAGACTTCTTCGGCGAACCCTTGCCCTTCCTAGCTCTTTTTTTTGTGCGGCCAGTTTTCCCCTCATCCCTTGATGATTGGATCATGGCCTTAATGTACTCCAGCGTGGTGGATTGAAACTCGACCCAAATGTCTGGGTCTTTGATTGACCAAAGGCATTTCGCAACAATGGGGCCCCAGCATTGGCCATTCTGCTCAATCCGCGGTAAGGTGATGTTGACCCATGGTGTGGCCAGCATGTCCTTGTCATTCTCTTTAACAATTCTTTTCTTGGCCTTCTTGCGATGCACTGTGTGTGTGTCTCAGTCTCCCCCATACTAGAATCCAGGACGTCTTCTACAGCACGGACTGATGCATCCCGTCTGAGGTCCAACATATGGTCAAAACTCTTGGTGTTGCAGCTCTCACCCTTCCCATTTCGAAGATCCATGCCCTTCCCTAAGACGAAGTAGGTCAGGTTGCGGTCAAATTTCCCCAGGCGGATGAACTGTCGCTCGCAGTGCTCCATCACATCTGGGAGCCATGGTTTTTTCATGCCCGAGAACTTGATCACCCATGCCTTTGTCAATGTGACATTGGCGTTCTCATGGGGCTCACTCTCAGAAGACATGGCTCAAACACTTTCACAAATCGGGTGGAAGACTAATCAAAAATCCTTCGGTACTGAGAGCACACAACGAGCAATAAGCAAGGCGAGAGCTTCAATGTCCCTGCTCATGATCTTTGCAAGTTTCACAGCAATGCTAGCTTGTGACTTTCCAAATCAAAAGAAAACCTGGGCTTGACAGAGTCCAAGCTATTACACATCTTGTCAATGTACTGTGCGAGATCATGTCCCTGCACAGGCGAGCTATAATAGTAATAGCCCTGCTTTCTGACTGGGGTCCCAGGCCCAGGCCACGGCTTCGAAGGAACCTGGATGGCAGGGCATGGGAAAAACTGTTTTGCGAGCGCTTTCAATGAGCTTCCTGAACTCTCCCCAAATTCAACAGAGTTAGAAACAGAATGCGCGTCTGCCAAGAATCTTTTGTGGACGCACACGTCAAACATGACAGTCACATCTTGCAGTGACACACAAAGGCGACCTTACCATCGCCTCAATATACCACTGCACTTGCCCTCTCTCCAAAACTTCCAAAACTGAGCAGAAGCCAATGGTACCAACAAATGTCCGTGCCAATGTTAGGCAAACACCAACGATAAGCCCCTACGACAGTGTATATATATATGTACATGGTTGCATATACAGGATACATATTATATATATATATACAAAGAAATATATGTTATAAACTGTCTTGTTCAGATTGAGACGTACTTGCGTAAAAGATGGGTGGAAACAGTGACCCATGCACGGTCCATGCACTGGCTTCGCCTGGCTATATGGCCTCATGATTCGACCTCTTGGCTTGAGACATCCGGCACAGTAAAGTCTTTCAAACTTTGGCCTTGGTTGAGGCTACGCATTCAATCATGACCTTTGGTCCTATGCCTCTTGAGAGGACGCGTCAGTGGCTCCAACTCTTCAACGTCCTCATCGCTTGGGATTTGTCTCCAAAGCCTGCGTGACCAATTCATCCCGTTTGGCCAATGCTTTGGAGTTCTTCAACGGAATTTTCATTCCTCAATTGGGCTTGGAAGGATCAAAGGTGGAAGTCAGAGCCATATTGCACTCTTCTAGCTCAGTCGAACTCCGAACACAGAAGAAGGGACTCACAAAACCAGGCTTGGTTTTGTCTTTCCCTCCATCCGAGAAGAAGGGCTGAATCCAAAAGACCATTGACTCACAAGTTGCCAATTTGGCATGCTTCAAGGAAAGCTCTCCCAAACACAGGCTAGTCTTGTTGCCATCCATGATCTGGCCCAACCTGCGACCGTCGAGCTTCAATGAGCATGGAACCAAGACGAGCTTGCCCTTAGGAAAGGCCTCTGTGGCAAAGACTGCCTTCACTGTGACCTGGACCCTCAACTGCCCATGGGCATGGTGATGAGCTGCCTCTAGGTCAAAGAAGGCCTGCGTGACCTGCCCGCGCAGGCAGTGAGCCAAGAATGCTGGGGAACTCAACGGCAGCAAATCCGTCAAGCCTTCGACGTCCTGAGGTTCAGCTTTTCGCTCAACCACCTTCCAGCCCCCCCTGCAACAATGTTGCAATCTTGAAGGTTGCTTGCCCCGAGATGGGACCATCCTCGACCTCAACAAGGACATTGTCCTTGGAAAAGGAATTGATCCGAGCCAGCGTTTGATCCTTTTTGCGCTGGATGTAGACCCCTGGTTCAAAACCAGCCTCTCGAGCGAATTGGGAAGGCTCCACCGTGCCATCGGAATTGAATCGCCTGATCCTTGGCACCGCTGCTGGGAACATAACCCCAACCCCCCACCAATCACCAACAGACCAAAGTCAATGAATAGAATGCCAATAGAAAAGTGACTGCGCTTAACAAACACTAGGGCTCGTATTTGTCTCTGTCGTTTCTTTGGGGGCATCAGCGCAATCTTCCTTGAAGGCGTCCCACTCTGAGCAAAGACGAACATGCTTGGCAGTCTCAAGCTTGTCCATCAGCCGACAGGCTGCAGCTTCCTGGCAATCAGAGATCTTCACCTCACTGTGTCGCTTCCCAAGCATAGCTAGCACCAAGTCTGTTTCGAACTCCGCCATCAACATGTGCACACCTGGGTCGCAAGCACCGTGACTCTCAACCAGTGACCAGCAGCGCCGAATCAGGCCATTGGCCTTGTCAGCCTGTGGCTTGAACTCTCGACTGGTGAGCGCTCGCTTCACATCCTGCGGTGTGATCTTCAGCGGGCTCGGGCTCATGTAGGCAGCCCCAAGCAAAGCCTAAGGTGACGCAATCCACTTTACAACAATATAACATGTGTATGTGTATACATATATTGTATATATATATTTATTTATTTTTATGGAGCTGCACGCTCTGAAGTAAGTGGCCGGGCTATAACAGTTTTGGCCGCCACTGTCATCTCCAAGGTCAATCACCAAAACATGAATAGGTGAACCCTCTGAGACAAACCTTGTCGTTGATAGTTTGGCATTTGTCTCGAGAAAAGGGAAATAGTGGATTGGTGGTACACGGACAGAGAGTTCAGCAAAATGGAACACATTCAGGCATAGAAGCGTGTCTCAAGTCGATCATCAAATCTTGGACGCCTTTGCCCTCTGAACACAGCGCCTCGAAGAAGTCACCCCCCAAGCTGCTTGCTTGAGGAACATTGTTGCTTGACTGCCTTCTCCACCCTGTCAAGCAAACCTGGAGCTCCGGCTGAGAACTTCACAATGAACCGGTGCATGAAGGGTGTTGCAGGAGCGCACACTGGCTTGCTACGCAGCAGGGAGTCTTTCAAGTCTTTAGAAGCTTTAGAAGCTGGAGTTCGTGCTCTCCTTTAGCCAGGTGCCCACTGGCATTTGAAGCGCTCTGGATTAGGCCCTTCATCTCTGGGAACTCTCGAAGAGGTTCAAAGCTGATGACCCGCCAACGCAGTCCGCTTGTGACTGCTTCTGCGTAGAGAGGGTCGATGTCCTTGATCACATCCAAGCTCAGGCGGCCTGATGAGTGCACCAGCTCTGCAATGTCGGATTTACACCCTGCTGCAATGCATCGAAGACCGGCATTGAGGTGGGACCCTGCCAGTGACGTAAACCTCATGTGAGGGCATGGAGGCAAGTAGCCCTGCGCTTCCATTGTAAGCCTTTCGTTGAAGGCGAGTGGCTCCCGGTCAAACGGATCGAGCTCCGCGCAAACCGGAGCCGTCTCAGAACTGCAGAAGCCAACTTCTGTGATCGAACGAATCAGGTCATGGCAATCCTTCACACTGATCCCAAAACCATCTCGATTGTGTGGGTCAGTGCCAATCAGGTGCGGTTCGATGCGCATGAACCTGCACATGGAGTGCCTCTCAAGGCACGCGTACAGGAGGTTCACCCCCCTGCACCAGCCCTGATTTCTGGCACTTCTCAAGCGCTGCCGCAACCTCTGCCTTCACGGCGGCGTCCATTGTTCGCAAAGGATGTCTTTTTCTGCACCCTCTCTTGAGCCTATATCACAGCGAGCTGGAAGCCCTGCTGGAGCGAGCACTGATTGCCCTGCTCATCCGCTTCACTCCAAAACAAGCAAGTCTCTGTGTTCGTAACCTGTTACGCCTCTAGCTGTTACACCTCTAAAGTTGAACATCAACAGAAACAGCAACCCCAAAAAGGAATTCGTATAGAAACCTCGAAACGACTCGAAAACTCGCATTTGCAAAAAGAGGCATACCTCAATTCCCGCCAGACCAAAGAAAACCTTTCAAGAAAGTAAACTGGAAGGGACTCGTCCAGACATACAAAAAACCGTAGAAGTCGATCAAATATATATATATATAAATAGCGGTAGAATCGAAGAATGCCTCTCCATCTGCAGTCCTCTCCCTTCCCTCTCCCTTCCCCGGTGTGGCTGGCCTGCTCCCGCAGGCTGCCACAGCTCCACCGCCGCCCGTCGCGGTGCACGGCCGTGGCGGGGCGGTCGGCGGTCGGACCCAGGTTCTTGAGGTTGGGAACCTATATGGGTATCTATAATATGGGGGGGCCGCTCCATTTCTGCAGTTCAGTACTTTACAAGAGTACCCCACCTACACTTGCAACACTAAGTTTGTGCTTCTTCACACAGGAGTCCCAACAGGCGCAGGGAATAAGCTGTAGACCAAACATTAAGTGCT